TTTGCCCAAATGTGTCATTTTGAAACTTTTTTGAGATTTTCGGCTTATCTTCACTCTGGAAAACATGCCCACCACTATTTAAAGCTATTTACTACACCGTTAGAAAAGTCGAATGTACAGTTGAAAAGTGGCACTCACAATTTTCGGGTTGAGTATTGACCCTCAGTTATAAGCAAACTTTTCTTGAGATTGTGGCAAAGATTTTTTCTGAAATATCCAAATTTCGTTTCTGTTTTGTGAATTTTGTTAAGTTGCATTTTACGACATCATATTGGTCTTAAATAAGAGAAAGATTCCGGTTAAGTTTCGTTTTCATATGGCATGCATGTGTTCCCTATTTAAGAGCGAATGCTTGAATTTACCGAGTGAAAATAGAAAAATGTGGCACACGATCAAAAAAATTGAAAACCTCAATATTTTGCCCAGAGATACCTTGTAGTGAACATAGCAACGTGGTAAGGTCTCTTTTTCCCGGACTTGCTTCTTTATCCTAGAAAATTCACGAAAGCTGAAACGAGCGTCGGCAGCCTAAAATGGCGGCAATCAGCGCCCCGAGTAAAGGCAATGAACTTTGCCCAGGAAAAGCGCAAAGGAAAGCAAGCTCGTACAATTGGACAAATTTGTCTTGGAGGGATTGAGGTATTGCTTTAGTCTAAAACGGGACCATTTCATTTAATTTTGAGCTCATGGAGCGTTTCTAAAAAATCATCAATATTTCAAAATCCAAATATCACATGTAGCAAATTTTCAATTATCATTTTTTCCATGCGGTCTAACTCAGAATCGGTTCAGGTTAAGCTCGTGATAAGTGGAAATGGTGTTGTTTCGAGGAGATAAAATCTAGTTTAGGGCTTTTCATTTCCGCACGGAAAATCCAAGCTGAACTTTGTGAAAATCGCAACATCGTCCTTACGTCACGATTCTCATCCACTTCCCATGGCGATTTTGATTACAAGAAGACAAGAGGGCGTCTGTTTCTCTTTGCGTATTCGAACACCTATAAGTTTGAAGAAAGTTCCAGGGTAAACTTGAGCTTCATTGTGGACTTGAAAGAGGACAATTCAGTCATTTATAACGGCAGGTCAAATGTTCTTTACGGAAGACGTTGAAGACGGGAAGCAATCTGTGTGTTGGTGTGTGACACGCAAGCATTTTAAGAAATAGACAACTTTTTTGAGAGAGACATGTTTCGGCATGCTTATGCCATCTTCAGTCAACGAGTACCTGAACGTAAGTAATTATATAATAGACAAGTAGATGAATAAAATATTCACAGTATGATGTAATACAAAAGCGGGTACTAATTACAACGTGATACCAAACATCAAAGGTGCGAACTAAAACGCTAGAAAAGTGTTATAATGCTGTAATTGTTTGTTAAGTTCAGGTTAGATCTCATTTATATAAAAAGCTTCTTTGAGTTTGAAATCAGTTGAGTTGCTAGCAGAATCCACAATATTAAAGCAAGACAGGGAGTATTTTCTCTTACAAGAAGGAGATGTGTTGAAATTTCTTAAAAATATGCGAGTTTTTATCGCTTTCCGTGTGCTCCTTTATCCTAGTAGAGAAGTGGCGACTAGTTTGAGCCCCGACCGGACCAACACTCAGGGTCTTAAAATAATTGAGAAGAGTTTGCTGCCTTTCTATAACATCAAGAAATGGTTAGATATTCTAGTCTTCTCGGATAGAGACGAATAAATGGAGGTCCCGTCTCCTACAGGGTTGGGGTAGGAGACGTTAATTTCCCACGCACGGAATTACTGTGTGATGGATGTCCTCCCCTGGGGTGGAAAAGGTGGGTTTATTGGGCCCGCAGTAATTGGCACAAGCTGTTGCGGTGTCCCTGCCGGTTGGCGAAGATAAATAAATAAATAAATAAATCACTACTACAAACATAGAATCTTAGCTGAGTTAAGAAAGTTCTTCCCAAATTCAGAGTTTTATTTACAAAACTCAGGGAAATAGGTTGGGCTGGAAACTGTTCGCAAATCAAAACAACTAAGTCGAGCCGGAAAAGGTATTCTTTTGATACCTCAGCTAAAAGTATTTCAACTAATTTCGTGCCGTAAAGTCGTTTCTGAACACCTAAAGACTGTCAGCAATACCGGTGTTGAGGCCGAGATAGATTTAATTTTAGATCGAGCGCCAATTCTTAACGCACCCTCCAGCAATCAGCCTCGACCATCTGTTTCGGGCATCACTGTTTTTTGAGCGTTGGATGAAGGAGAGGGTCACAAAGATACCATGCATTCCAGAAAAGTCATGCAGCCATGCTAAAGGAAAAACACGCAGGTCTCATCTTAGAATTAGTGTGGCATTTTTGAGAACGATTTTCTAGCTTACTCTTTTTCAGGTTTTTGTTCTTAAAAGTTATCATTTCGAGGAAGATTTCAAAAATGTTGCCAAGCGCCGGTCTAGTCAAACTGCAAAAATGGCGCGGCACGTTGTTCCGGATTTTCTTTAAATTTGTGGTTTGCTTACAGAGACCTAATGTGTCTAGTTACATAGGCTGTGTAAAGGAAGAAAAATGAGCAGTTGCCGAAAAAAAATAGCTTCCTATTAACCAAGCGTGAGGGCCGCACTGAGGATTATTGGACCAAAATCGTGGTAATACGGAATGAGCGCGGCGAGGTCCGAGCAAAAATGACCGCGAGAGCCAATATTTCCCAATACAGCTCAAGCAAGCGATGTTACTAAGTATTTCATCATGGCGTCCGGGAAAATTTCTTTAATTTTAATTTTTCGGCTTTCGCAAACAAAAATATATGGCTTACGACCCGGCTTCCGCGAAAATGGTCCGCATGGCAAAATCCAGACCATGTAAGAACTAATCAGAACGCCCGGATTTACTTCAAGAATGTCCTAGCTAATGGTAAGCTGTTATAACCTTCAAGCTCGAGGTATTTGCATCGATAGTTTATTTTCTCACAGAGATTTTTTGTTTGAAAATACATGTGCTTGTAACGTTTTACCATGTGTTTGCGTTTTTCTGCTAGAAATTCAGTGTGGAGAAAGAGTCACACATAATCACAAGTTTGTTTTATTTTTATAGCTGTGGTTGTTAACTCAATCGAATTAGTTTTACTTAGCTTACTAATTGACATTCCTTTTATTAGATGTTGACATTCAAAAAATGTTGAATTGGTGTCAGTGACATTATACACCGATCAATCGCAGCTTTAACATCCCGGGTAACCAACAGGCTTTTGACTGTCGTCCTTTGAGCCTTACCTAAGTGGGGGTGGAATTTGAACCGAAATTTAGAAGTCTTTCCAGTGGAACACTGGTGGTTTACCTTTGGTAGATTGGAAAATATGGAATGCCGGAATTCGGAACCGGAACCTGAATACTTGGAATACCTGGAGTTCCCGGAATTCCCGGACTGAGAGAAAAATAATAAATTTTCAAAAGATAAAAGTAAATTAATAAATCAATAAGAATATCGATGATTAAAAATTAATGGGTGGATGCACAAATTATTTAAATAACTTAATTCGAGTTTTTTCTCTGAGGGTCCCCCAAAAAAACACCACTTACTGGCACTGTTCATGGAGATACACGAATTAGAATTTAAAAAAAGTCTGCGCCAGGCCAGTAGCCTATACAGCCTAGGTGACGAAATATTTCTACTCTCCCTTCTCCCTGGATGGGATGCTAGTCCATCACATGGTTACTCCCCATTTTGAATTCGCCTCCACCCATTTACACACCTGTAGGATGTCTAGGGCGCCATGACGACGCTTTTCCAACCACAACCATTGCAGAAGATTAAACAAATGCAATATTTCCAACTAGTTTAATAGTTCAATTGTAAAAAGCTCAGAACTCTTAAAAATTAATACTCTACCTTAAAAAATTATCAAGCACACATTGGGAGCTATCAAAGCAACTACCACTAAGACCAGCCATCTACCGTTAAAATTGAGAGATCTTCAGTTACCCTACACCTTTTCGCCTTTATTATCTCTACCTTGAATATATAGCTTTGAATATAAACCTTGTCTAGAAAAATCCATCAGAATATAGAGGGTCTACCAGGTGTAGGTTGTGGAGCTTGAATAGTCAAATCGTTTGCTGGTCGTGCCTTTTACAAAAGATGTGACATTGAAATGAGGGTCTCAATGGAAAAATGGCTGTCACGGCTAATGGTTACGTTTCTTGGCCATTTTATAACTGCTAGTGCTATCTTTTGCGGCTACATTTTTCTAAGGATTCACGGTTAAAATTGGCAGCTTTTATGCCTAAAGGCTAATTTTTGCCTTTTTACCGCTGACAGATAACCCCATCGAGAACCACTAAGATCTAGCACCTGGGCAGCAGGACATTTGAATATGATTTTGGTCCAGGAGGCAGGAACCAATCTTCAAAAGTTAAAATTCCCGAGTAGAGGCGATGTTGAAGCTTTGAATTGATCGACGCATCATTTTTTCTCTTAGCATAATACTTTCAGTGTCCCTCCGTCAAACGATGTCATCTGTTTCAGTGATAATCATCGAGCAAGACCGTACTACAGCGTCTTCTTTAACTCACGACTGAGTCTAATGATCTTCGATTAAAAATGGTGATTTCGTAATCGAACACGGCGCTAACTTCTAAAATGTGCTTGGAGTTTCGGATTTAACCACGGGGTGCCTAATTAGATCGTGACGTAAAGACGATGTTACGATTTTCACAAAGTTCATCTTGGTTTTTCCGCACGGAAATGAACAGCCCTAAACTAATTTTTATCTCCTCGAAAACAGCATCATTTCCTCTTTTCACAAGCTTAACCTCAGCCGATTCTGAGTTATACCGTGTGGGGAAATAATAATTGAAAATTTGCTACGAAATGGGATATTTGGATCTTAAAATATTGGTGATTTTTATAAGCCCTCCGTGAGCTCAAAATTAATTGAAATGGCCCCATGCCTCAATCTCTCCTAAAATTTGTGGAATTGATACGAGCTTGCCTTTTTTTGCGCTTTTCATGAGCTCGTTTCAGTTTTCGTGAGTTATCTAGGATAAAGAAGCAAATCTGGAAAAAAATAATACTTTACCACGTTTTTACGTTCACCATGAGGCATCTCTGACTGAAATATGAGGATTGTCATTTTTCGATCGATGTGCCACTTCTCACGCGGCCTTGAAAAAAAGTCGCTCTTAAGCTATGTCTGATTGTCGTATTTGTATCTCATCGTCCTGTTCTTGTGAAAAATTCCATCATTCATTAACCCTAGTTCGTTGCGAATTTTATAGGTCCTTTTCATGAAATATCTAATATTCATAAATGTGCGACTCAACGGACGTCACTCTATGTTTAACGAAAAAAAGCAAATATTTTCGTTCAACATGCCTACCACCTGGCTGAAAATCATCAAGGCGTTCGGAATCTGCACATGTGAAATAAAGAAAACTGGAAACTCTCAGACTTCCCAGCTCGCTAGCCTGCTATCAGCGGGCTCTCGAACAGAAACTGAATTTACCAGCAACGTTTGTGATGCTGAATAATTTTCACATCTCCTCTCTGTGCAACACGAAAAGAGATTCTCATGAGGTTTGGAGAATTCTCGAAAATTGTGCAAAGTAACCCTTGCTTACGTCTTATGTTTCTTCAGATGTGGCTATGCTAACGCAGTAAAATTCCAATATTGTTTAAAAGAACCACAAACCATTGGCTATAAATGCAATCTTATAAAAAAAATGAATTCTCCCTTTGGTTTCGAACGGCTACCGACACTGTCATGAGTAGCGGTCGTATTTTCATACTTAACAATTGGTCCCACGGGCATTTTTGAATAATGTAAAGGAAAAAAAAATACCAAAAATTGTGTTTTACGATATAAGAATTAACAAGTCTATGTATTAAGCTCGAAATTGACTTTGATGCGATCAGAAGATCAAGTTTCCTTACCTTTCCTACAAGGAAGCGACAAGTTTTTCAAGCCTGGTTTGCCCTTCCGGCAGATAGCTAATAGTCATTATTATTATTATAATGCAATAAATACTAATTAATTGGCGCTGAGCTTTAGTTATCAAACCAAAGATAAATCACACTAGTGGTTCAGGTTTCGAGAAGCCTAGAAACTATCATAAGAATTGAAAACAATGGGTAAAATTTCCATCACTAGCAATTATCGCTTAGACTTGGCTCAAACATCTGTCAAACCTAATGCAAATTTCAGTCACCTCAAGTACTTAAATTCGGCATGTTGATTAAAAAACATCGATCATTCTGAATAATTCTGAGAGGCCATTTTTGCGATCATGTTATGGTTTATATCACTGCTAAAAATAATGCTGCTGTGCAAAACGTCAAAACCAAACAACCACGAATCAGGACGACCACTTGCATGCTTGATTTTGTCATTCGACTGAGTGTTTCCAAGTTATTTTAGTCTGGATCGTATTAAATTAATAAACGCAAAAGTGTCTTACAACTTATTTATTGGAAATAGCCTGTTTTTTGTTCTAAAGTTAATTTTATGGATTTGTGAAACCACTTTTCTACATAGTTCACATCTAAGGGATATAATAAAGCTAGTACTTACTCAATATGCAGCTAATAAAAAGCGTGTTGAACATTTCTCTGGCTTTGATTTCACCTACCATCCAAATTCATTAATACAAGCTATGGATATGTTGCTGTCAACTGTTGTCATGAGATTGATGCAAGTTTCTCTCGGAGGCTGAGCATGCGCAGAAAATCTTTCGAACTATTTCGCAAGCTCTTGTACCACGTAATTTATGCATATCATAAACTTTGATCGTTTGCGTCACCGAAATTATCTTAATAAACCAGCCAGTGAAACCAATTACTATTTGCATCATGTGTAGAGCATCGTTTTGTTCAGTAGAAACAAGAACATCACGACATGGAACTGTATTTTAACGACAATGAATTGCAAGTTGTTTCAGTTGCCTTGGTTGTCGTTGGCTGACTATTCATAGCACATGTGCTATGTTTTTCTGAGGTATTTTAAACTCTATATCTAAATTTCTTTTCATACAAATACGGTGCAATACACGTTGTAATTCCCGATCGGAAGCTGTGTACTCGACATGACTCGAGTCATAAATCTGTTCTTTTTAGATTAAGCGACCAGTTAAAACGAAGGCTTGGGCAATAGATGATAAGTAATGTTTTGCTTTCTTAAATCAGGAAGTGGTAAACCGCACAAAAATCGCTTATATTAAAAAAAGAAAAAAAAATCTTTCAATAACAGGCAGTTTTTTTTTTATATATTAGCTAAAGAAAGCTTCAATCACTAAAACCAGCTCAATCAATATCCGACTCTAAACGATGGTTGTCTCATTAATAAGGTGTTTTGTTTGTTGCTAATGATTGTGCGAGATTTTCTGGAATATTTTAATTTCTTGTTCTGTGTTATTCATTTTTTCCAGATGTTTTTAAGTAATTGTATGCTGGTATATCGCCTATTCACCTAGAGTTTCCATAAAAAAGTTACTGCTTTTTTGTTTTTGTCACATAATCAGTTTCTAGTTCGCTGAGTTATCAATTTAAATCGTCGTAATATATCAATTTTTTTTCCAAACGCCGCGTCGAATGTTAATTTTTTGTAACATCGTGCCTGTTAAACTAACAAATATAAAGGCCTCGACTGTGTTCTGTTCAATTTCAAAGCTGGCAAGAAGCGGCTAGGGTACGAAAGGTCTTTCTCTACTAATTGAGTATGGAACTGATACAACTGCTTCTAAAATGCTCAACTTCCGTCGCTTGACAAAGATTGCCAAATATTTCAAGCAGCCATCTGATGCATCAACAAGAAGCAATGGTGTACGTGTTTCCCTTTCGACATCTCGTCACAAAGCTCAGAAAGATAGCACTTAGGCTGTTGTGTTCGTTTATCTTAAGTGTGGTTTAGCTGTTACACAGCAGAATAACTACCAATTTTTTTTTTGATTAAGTTGGTATCGTATGTAAACTTAAAAACATTGTGACCCTAACTACAAGAAAAAATTCCCAAACTTCTTTTATTTGGTTTCATTTTCGTGAGTGTCACAGGAAGTTTAATCATAGATATAAATTGCCCACAAATAGTAGGTCAATTCTGTGGGTCTTATTGCTACCTCATACCCAACAGAAATAAAAAAGGTAGTACTTACCCAATGCACAACTCTCTAGAAGGGTTTTAAACATTTTTCTGGACTCAGCTCACCCGCCATCCATTTCGTGAAGCCCAATATAAACACAGGTAGTTATTAGTAGCTGTTGTCAGATTACGTCACATTATTTTTAGGGACAAAGCGTGAACGGAAATTTCTCAATGTGTTTCAAACTCTTTAGTATAAGCTGGAGTTAAAAGTAGATCATAATACTCGGTAGAATATTCATGACGTACGTGTATTACCTGCTTTTAATTTTTTTTTTTTAATAGACGAACTAAGAAACTGAACGTAACTTGTAGCAGATGTGAAACATTTTTTTTTTCACTGAAATGATAAATTCAAGAAACAAACAGACTTTTATGAAGTTGAAGCTTTATAAGTTTTCAGTCCAGTTTCAAAAGTGAGTTCTATTTCGATTAAAACTGATTCACGGCAATACTGTTAACAAACTGCCCATACTTCGGTGACATCTCCTCGATTGTCCGGTGAGTTTTACTTTGTGGGAGTTCTCCATGTTCAAAGACAGAAGACAGTGTTCATATTTCTTTTGAGTCGCAGATACTCAGCTTTAACCTGCAGATAGACAACCAGCACAATATAAGTTCGTTAGCATTCATAAGTTTTAATTCATGCGTAAAATTCTCATGATCTACATTATGTATATTCGCAGTTTATTCGTTTTGCCACCTGACGGTGTAAAGGGAAAATTAGGACACCTGTAGTAGAAACAGGATATTAACGTCCTTTTTTTTTTTTTTTCTGTACTATGCCCGTGAAAGGAATCATATGCTTTTGGAAATCAGTTCAGGTTCTTTTACCGCTTGAAGTATTCAACTTCGCTCTTTTTTTTTTTTTTTTTTTTTTTTAAAGATACTGTACTATGCCCGTGAAAGGAAGCATTGGCTTGTCTCGACTATCCAGAATGCACGGATATTTAAATAACTTGCCCAATTTTTCAGATAATATTGTAATTATTACGACTAGAAAAATAGGAGTGAAGAAAAAAATACAGATATTGTAAATCAAGAAGGAGATATTTACCTCTTTTTGTTTTTTGAAATATATGTAAAAAATGGCACGTGACCATTGTAAAGGTATCTTACTTTGAGTAGAAAGTCACTAACAGATCTGCATTAATTCATTATCGCGGGTTCGTCTAGGACGCTTATCTGAGTAGAGTTTAGTATGAAGAAAATGTAGGGGCGAGGTTCATGTGATGGTGACAAGAGGCTGAATAGCCACATGACAGCTAGAAAGGGAATTATCACCTCGAACTGTTTGATTCCAAGTAAGAACCATATTCGTGGTATAAAAAAAATATTTGGGTAAAGTTCAAATTTTACAAAGATGCCATCAAAGAATAAACTACTTATTGAGAATGGAGTTATGAGTTCCACTTGAAGATAGTTGGGTCAAACCAATTTATGTCCATATTCATCCACCTGTAGCTAATACGAGTATCCCACCTGTTCGTGTGCGCGAATGGAAATTGTTAGTAATTAGAAGAAAGATGGTAAGTTTTGAAAGCGGTAAAAATTTTGAGAAAGATATTTCTCGTCTGGTTTCGAATTCTGAGTCTCCATGTGGAATCGATTCCTCATGGGGACTCGAAATTTTTTCGTTGTCCTACGCTCTTGGAAATTGTTACTTTGCAGTCATCTCGCAGATGACATGCAGCGCGTTTTAGCTGATGATTCTTATCTCTTCTGTCATTAATCTTTTGTTCAGGTGTTAATTAATATGCATACTTACTATTCTACCACGATAAGCTCCAAGTCAGATCGTGAGTTTAATCTGAGTTTAATAAGATATAATTTGAATATATCAACAAAGTTGAAATGGTAAATTGGCCACCGTTACGATGATAAAAGCTGACGTTTCGATCGTTAGCCCTTCGTCGGAGCGAATAGAGGAATTGTGGGTTGTCTGTGCTTTTAAAGGTAGAAAATGGAGCTACGTGATTGGTGGGAACATGGCAACGAGAAAAACACCAATAAATGAATTTAATGAAAATATTCTTTGATACCTGTGAGATTTAAACTGCCGCTTTGAAAGATGAGCCTTTGTTCAAGGGTTTTGCGGCTTTCCATGCTACCTAAGTGTAAGGTAAGATCGCAGATTGCCATATGTTGCTTAGAATGATTGGATAAATTAAAATTTCTAGCGACTGGTTCCGATGTGTACTTGTCATTCCCCTCCACGTTGCGAAGGTGTTCTCGGAATCGGTCACCTAGTCTTTTGCCTGTTTCGCCGATGTAAATCTTTTGCAATAAGTTTAAGTTATGCAATAGATTACATTAGCGGAGGTGCACGTGAAATGATCAGTGATCTTAATGGATCATTTGGGTCCCGATATTTTCTCAGTGTTATGAATGAAAGGACACGTTTTGCATCGTGCACGAGTGCATTTAAAAGTGCCGGATTGGTTATTAGTCTGAAAAGAGTTTCTGACCGAAAAATTGGCTGTTTTTGTCGCGTTTGAATAAAATAAGCAGAGGCTGCGAAAAGATAGTGCTTGTCTCTGGATCGTTTTGAAGTAATTTAAAGTTTTTAAGAATGATGGATTTAACTGAGTGGTTGTGAGGGTGAAACGTGACGTTTGTAGTGCTGAATGTCGATCAATAAGTTGAGCGCGGTGATAACCCGCTTCAACAATAGAATCAGGGTAGCCACGTTATCGAAAAACTGGCACATTGACTCTGATTTGTGGTGGAAGTCAGAGTCATCACTACATAAACGACGAAGTCTTAGAAAGTGAGAAAAGGAATGGAATTCTTAACGTG